CTTATGACACAGGCAACTTCATAATTTCCTATGGAAAGTAAATTCAAGTCAAGTAGACTTGAAAAAAAGGTAACTATCTATTTCTAGAGTATATAACGGAGCACCTGCTATACCAGAAGTCAGTCTCTTTCCTTTTTAAAGTAATTTTATAACCTGCTAATAATCATGGGTGATACAAGACCATTTAAATGCCACTTTGAAGCCTCAGCCCTGAATTGAACAAAGCACAGTCCTTGCAGGCTATCTTTATAAGTAAAAACTCTGACATTATTATATGCTGAAATTTCAAGAGCTCCAACTTTTTTTCAGTGTAATGAGCTTTTCACTACATCCCATGTTAATTGTTGTGAATAGCCAATATTATCCCATGATGTTTATTACGAAACTAGGCCAAATATGCACGTGACTATACATAACTGTTCTCCTTTCATGTATTTCATGAGGTTCTGATCCTATATTCATTTATATCTCCCTGTTGCATACTAAAAAGAAATACAGCACATTTATTTCAAGAGATATTCAGGTTCAACTAACCTACTAATTCATTCTAGGTCTGTATTTAGGAAATGTCTGCCAATGAATCACGGAAAATTAGATGGATTATTTTTATAACTACAGTGAACCATGGAAAAAAATGTGTAACATTGCTTCAGATTCCAGCTTGCACCAAAATGCTTCTAAAATATTGAATAAAAATGTCAGAATGATAAATTTTATCTTCAGGGTGACAGCATCAATCATCTGGTACACCCAGCAAACTGTTAAAACAAAATTAGGTTCAAACGCATGAAGGATGAAATACGACTTGTTTTCACAAGTATTTAGTTCCTATGAGTTACAGCTGATGTGTGCTGAGAAGGCCATGGCAATGAGGCCAACCAGGAACATCTCGCCAATCCACCCTCCAGATCTCAGTCTATCCACTTACATAGCAGTTCTAATACTGTTTTTTCTGAATGAACAATCCCAGCAGAGTATCTTCAGGTGATCGTGGTGAAGTCCTTCCATTTCAAATGTAAGCATAGTCTTTTTGTTGCAGTCTTTTGCCCTTTTTTTCCCTTCCAAAGACCATATATGCAAGCAACCCCCATTAAGTTCAAAATAAACTGCATCCCCATAGCAGGAATAAGCATTCTTACTACTGTTCTTTTCCACTCTTTCTGTGAGACATGCTTAATTTTTGAAACTAAAGCTGCACTGTCAACACAGCAGAAAGCTGCAAAAAATACCAACTTCTCTATCCTTGATATCCGCCAAATCACTTTCTTGCAACATGATCTGACCTGAACAGCTGAGGTTCCAAATGTTTTCATCTTTCTTGCTCTAGTTTGTCCCTTCCTGAAAATACCATTTGTTAGACATGGAATATCTGCAACTGCTATATGCAACCTTTTATAGTGTATAGATAACTCCATCTATTGCATCAATAAGAGTTGAAATTATATTTAATCTGCAGATGCCAAAACCACTAGTGCATTCATAAAACTGTACTCAAACAATCTGTGGAAAAGACTGTGGCCTCTGAAATGAATAGTCAAGTTTAGCTGTCTTTTGTGATGATGCTGGTGATGATGTTGGAATCGATACACTAAGGTGTATACAGAGTTACAATCTTTTCATTTAATCTTCCTAAAGATGCTGAAACTCCCTGTTGCTGTTGCCAGTAATAGGCAAATAGCCTTATATTATGCCCTATAGAGGGTTCGTTGGTCATGGCTTTCCCCGCCTCTTCTCTTTTGTCATAGTAAAATATTTCTGGCAGCTTCAATTTAAAGAGAAATAGCTAACCAATTTCAGCTAGTCTGGTTTAAAAGTTTCTCATCACATGTAAGCAGCTGAATTATTTCAAGCACAGTTTCACAAGCACAAGTGCTTCCTTCCTGGTTTGGACAACTACTGAGTACCAGCATCTGTGGAGGATGATAATCCACTTCTGACAAGGTATGTGGGATAAACGTGGCTTTAAGAAATCATATTCTGTCAAGAGGCATGGCACTATGATCCCTCTGAAGAGAGACAAACCTTTGCTGAGCACAGTCCTCAAGCCGGTGAAACTAGCTCGGTGTGACTTTGGCCCTGGGGTAACTAAGTTTTCCACCTAAGTAGGACAGACAGAAAAACTTGATCCCTCGCCTTTCTCTCCCTCTCTGATTTTTTACAGGCTGAACTCTGATCTCTTTTGTATGATCTGACAGCCAAGTAGACACTTTTGAGTAATTTTCCCCAGAGACACACTGTGTACCAGGTAAGGTAAACTGGCAAAATCCAAAAGGGACTTTTGTAAGAGGTATGTTGCCGCTAATTTATGCTCCTGTGAAACGGGTTGGCTGACATGATGAAATACTCCAGAGGCTAGCCCTGAAAAAGCAATCCTCCTAAATGCTTCTTTGGAAAGATCCTTAGGAGATGAACAATTGATAGGGCTGTGTACAGATGGTTTAGCTTCTGTAGCTTTTTCTTTTTTCAGTTTAAGACAACAACGCAAAAGGTTCTTCATCCTCGACTTGCAAACACTATACAAGGACTTGTGTAGCATTTCTACTCCAGGTACCTCAGAATATTTTTGCTACTGAAGCTGCTGATGTCATATTTGATATCCTTAAATCCACAAGAAGTCCTAGATACTTGATAAAGCTGCTTTGGGGTGCAATATGAAAGACACAGGCACTTGCTCTTTCATGGCATGCCAGCCATGCGGTTGGTAATCTTCTAGTCTAATTTCCTGTTAGAATTCCAATTAAATCTCTCATAAAAGAAGAAAAATATAAACCAGGGCAAGGTCTCCATTTTTTTATCTGACTCCATTTTGTACAGTTTTTATGTGAACAAAAATCCATAACAAAACTTCATCAGTAGCATCTGTATCCATGTTTGTTTCACACACAACAGAGCATATCTCTACAAAGATTTGTGTAGCTTGTCAACAACATCACACAGAACTAGGTAATAATAGTAATAACAATAACAACAACAATAATAATAGTAACAACAACAATACTTAATATGAGAAGTTAACTTGATCATACATATTTCAGATGTCATTCTACTTTCAGCTGGCTTATTCACACCAAACTTGAAGGGAGAACTTAGGAAATCCAGATGCTGGAAGAAAGACTATTGTTGATGGCACAATCAACAGTTTTTAATGAACAGCTAACCTAATACAGTAGCAGGTGAAAACGTCACAGTAAATTGCTATGCATCAAACGTGATTAAAACAAAGCCACTGACATTGCTGACCCTTCTTTTAGAAATAACAGAAAAAAGCACATAGTACTTCCAGGCTGAGTACGATCCAATAGGTACGTGAACGGGTTAGCTGAAGTAAGTTATATTCTTCAAACAGTTCTCAAGAAGGCAGGCACCACGATCTACAGCTACTTCTATGCAATGTCTTCTATAACACATTATGTTATCACTGGAAATATGAAATCTTCACTATAGGACTTGGTAACAGCCCCTTGAGCCTTTTTTAATGAATAATTGTGTGCTGTCTCTAACATGCACTAAAATCACAGAGGACCAGCATTTTTAAATTCCCATCCAACAGATTCAAGTCAGAGGAATATCAAATAATACACTTAATGACATTTCAAGCCAGTAACCACATCTTTACAATTGGGTACTGCAGCTGGCTTTATCCTCTTAGAAGGAATATATGAGACCTCTGTCAAATTTCTAGGACATGCATAATGGGTGAAGCCAACAAACTTGCATGCAAAGGCAGTGATTTAAAAAGCGACAACTGTGAGAAAAAAGTCAAGGGTCTAGCTTGTCCTATTTTGCATGAGCTTTCAGCACTATTCACGAATGTTGGCAGAAAAGGTTTGGTTCCAATCTACAGCTACACACTTCTGTTGCCAAAAATTCAAAGTCCGTCTCTTAAACTGGTTCTATAGAGTTTGACCTTTCGTCACATGATCCTCCCCTCCCCAACTGGTTGACTGTTGCTTTATTTTGTATTGGATTAGACATATAAAAGCATGAAAAAATCTACTGAGAAAGCCAAGCCTATTGTATATGTTTTCTTCTGCTTTTAAAAATGTTTTACTACCTATGTACTGCATGGAATTTCAGTAGTCTATATCTAACTAGAAGCACACATTTTCTACTTCATTTGAAGTTAACTATTGATTATGCAGCCAATACTTGACCAGTGCATATGTTTCAAGTAAGAGCAAGTAAAATTCAAGAAATCTAATTCTTGTCAGTCCTCAATTTTGCTTATCCTGGAAAAGCAGACTGTGACCTAGTGGAAGATGGCACGTTCATATAGCTTCTTCAGTTTGAAGCTGGGATTCTGTCTGAGTTGTTTTCAAGTCTGTTCCAGCTAGTTATCTACCTAAGGGTGACATCAAAAACCTGCTTCATTTGGCCAAATATATGTTTGGTTCAGACAACATTTGTAAGATGTTCCCCCTCCCGCTACATCTTTTGTCCTACCTGCCCTCCCCTAAGAGAATGCAAGAGCCAAAGTATCCAGTTAAAGAGCAAGCTGACACAGGAGACAGTCTTTCTTCTGTGTCAAATAATCTCTCTCCTGATGATTGTTGGCTGAGTTTTTATTTACTAAATCCTGTCACACTGAAATTTTCGGTATCAAACGTATCAGCTGGCTCTGGCTGTTCTGTCTCCCTCTGTCATCAACTGCACTGCCAGAAGGACACCTGACAGATCCGATGCTCTATAAGCATGGCATAATCCAACCACTGTGTCGGTGCTACCTGAGTGTTATACCATCCGCATCTCTGCTTCTGGATGGCAGGAGCCACTGGTAGGCCATTTGAGGGAAATAGCTAGTGCTCTGTCAAAGACTTCCATGGATGTAGATACAGAAGTGGGAGAAAATGGGGTAAAAATGGCATGTGCACATTTATTCTGACTCAAGAAGATTGCCCGAA